TAGGTACCCTGAGGAGGATGGCGCACACCTGCTAAAGGCCTGGCGCAATTAGAAAAGGCAGCTCTGGACAGCAGCTCCCCTGTGCCAGGCGTCACACTCAGCCCCTTCGTCCTTGTGTGAGTGGAAGGGAAGGTGTGAGCAGAAGGGTCCGTGACCCTCGTCCTGGAAGCAGGGTGACTGCTGCTATGTGCTGGGGTCCTGAGCAATCACAGGGCCAGGCTGCTGTCCTGCCTGCCTCGTTGCTCTTGTCTGCAAAATGGACTTCAAGGCTGAAATGAGCTCACAGACCACCCACCCCAGCCAGTGTTTGAGCCTCAAGGGAGAGGGGCAGGGCTGTGGATGGGGAGGTGGATTCAGGAGCAGCGTGGAAAGGAGTCACATACGTACTTGGTTGGAATGTAGGATTTTTACCCCTCAGTCAAGGGAGTCTGTCTTAGTTACTTTTCCCATTGTTGAGACAAAATACATGACCCTCAGAGTTAAAGGAGGACAGGTTTATGTAGCTCAGTTTGTAGAGGTTTCAGGCTGTAGTTGGCTGGCTCCCTCACGGAGGAGAAACAGTCCATGGCAAAGCCGCACGCAATCGCCAGGCAACAAGAGCCATAGTTCTTTCTGGCCCATATTTCTTAGCCAGGATCCCTGCCATAGGGCAGGCAGCACTCACACCTGGATCCTAGCACTGCCCGGAGTGAGTCCCAGCATCACATGTCCTAGATCCATCCACTCCCAGCAAGCCCCGCCTGTGACAGCGTGAAGTTTTGGGAGACATCCAGACACAGCCCTAACCATGCTGCTTACTTGTGTGAAGAGGAAGAATTTAAACTTGCCAAGAAAGTACATATGTGACTCCTTTCCAGGCTGAGTTCGCAAACTTTAGTTCAAGAGTGTAAATAGATGCACGAAAGCATCCTTAGGCTTTCAATGACCCAGAGGATCACAGGTTGTCAGGTGGGACTCTGACTCCCACCTTACCCATGGCTGCCCGCTGCGAGCCATCTGCATTGTGACCCTGCGGGGACCTAGGCAGACTTGGGGTGGCTTTGAAACAACTCTGAGCAGCACTGCCGGGCAGGTGCCCCTCGCCTTTCATTCCTGCCCACGATGCTGGTCGGCCTGTCACCTCGGAGAAGACCCCAGATCTCAGCAATAGAGACTGCAGGTTCCCTTCAATTCGGGCAACTTCCTTTTATGTGCACCTTCCCATTAGACACGTAAGTGATGTATCAGTCAGTGCGCCACAGATGCGCTGGGCCTGGTGGTGCATGCCTGTAATAACAGCACCATAGAAGGCTGAGGCGGGAGGATCACAAGTTCTAGCCCAGCCTGGGCAACCTTGTGTCAAAATTTAAAAAATAAATAAGATAGGGCCAGCATTGTAGCTCAGTCTGAAGTCCTCCTAGTATTGAGAAAAAAAGGCACACATGTATTGATGTAAAACATGAAACATCCATCTATTGATTGACTGAATACAGACAAAAACTCATTGGTTATTACTGTGGGCCAGCCACAATACCAAGATGATGTTCATGGATTCACCCTACTACCCTTTAAGTAAATGTGAACACCGTGAGCTCCGGTGATTCCCCACTGTCTCCCCACAGCTGGGTTTGGGGAGGGGCTCGCCGACAGGCCTGGGAGGTGCAGACCTGTGCCCTCTGGTAGGCAGTTGTCCCTTTCGCCTGTGTCCCCCCAAACAGTGCTTTAGGGACGTCTCAGCGGGGTCCTGCATGCTGCTCCCTCCCCAGGAACAAAGCAGTCACAGCAGCAGCAGGAGGCCTGGGTGCAGCTGCCTGGGGAGCCCTGCCACAGCAGTTCCCCCCGCGCTTCCTCACTGTCCTCTCCAGGAATTCACTTTTCCCCTGTTTTTCCGCTTCGTCCTGTGTGGTTCTTTTTTTTTTTTTTCTTTTTTCTTTAAGCAGCAAAACGTAAATTTATTAAAAGCGCATTTGGTTAGGGACAAGCAGGCAGTTTCCCTTTGTATCTGGAGCATTTGGTTTTTCTGCAGAATGCTTTATATAATTTTTTGTCTTTGTTAAGTTTATTGGTACATTTTAGGTATACAGTACAGTTACATTTATCATTGGGACCTTGTACCTTTACAAGACTTATCCTGTTTCTTATTTTTCCCCATTCCCCAGGCCTTTTACCCCCTCCATCCTTCCCTGTTTACAGAGACTGTTTCCATGTTTTTCCTTTTCACACATTTTTCCCTTTTTACTTTCCCCTATCCTTCCCACTTCTTCAAAATGTCAGAAGACCTTTTTCTTCATACTACACAATATCAGTTATACATTTTAATCCTTATTGACACTTAGTTTTTTACACCAGAGAAACTATTTAGTATTTATACATGCGTGACTTACAAATTTCACTTGAGAGTATGGCTTCAATGTGTATCCACTTAGCTATAAATATCTCTAGTTTCTTTTCTTTATGGCTGAGTAGTGCTCCATTTTATAAAAAAGAAACCTCGTCGTCTTTATCCAGACTCCAGTTGATGGGCCATTGGATTGTCTCCAAATTTTACCGATTACAAACTATGCCACTATAAACATGGGTGAGCATATATCGCTGTGGTGTGATTCTTTTAATTCATTTGGGAAGATACTCAGCAGAGTAATAGCTGGGTCAATTGGGACCTCTAATCCTAGTTGTTTGAAGTATCTCCATATTGATTTCCACAGTGGTTGCACCAGTCTGTACTCCCACCAACAATGGAGAAGGGTTCCTTTCTCCCCATAACCTGGACAGCATTTCTTGTTGGTTGTTTTCTTGATAGCAGCCATTCTCTCTGGGGTGAGGTGGAATCTCAGTGTTGTTTTCATCTGCATCTCTCAAGTGACCATCGATGTTGAACATTTTTTCATATGTTTATTTGCTGCTTTTACTTCTTTGTCTGAGAAATGTCTGTTCATATCAGGTGTCCATTTTTGAATTGGGTGTTTGGGGGGGTCTGATTTTTTTGAGTTCTGTGTAGTTCTGAAGCAGTCTGTACATATTAGAACAAAATACATGTGGATCCGTTTTTCACTTGTGTAGTAGGGCTTTAAAATAATGGAGAAATAGAATAAATGCAAGAAAGAATTAGTAAGGTTTTTTAAAAATGCCACTTACTAATGCTGTGACTTTATTTGTGTGAGTGTGTGTGTGTGCATGCATGTGTGGCTGTGTGTGAGAGAGGTTAATGTGCTACAGCAGTGATTGTAAGGACAGTATTGTAGTACTTAGCATGTGGCTTGGGCTCTGTGCATGGAGTCCAGAGGTTTTGCCAGAAAATGCTGTGCTCAAGGACAGAGCATTTCCTTGCATTTGGAATTTTCTAAAACAAAGGTTTAAATAATGTATCTGACTCAGAAAGTTTCTCAGCTCTTCGCTGGGTATGGAAAGCATGTTTAGAAAATGTCCACATAGCTCTCTGGTCCTGTGCCCTGTTCTATGTGATTCGGGCATTTATGTGTTTCTGAACTCTGATGGTGGCAACACATGCAAAATGCAGAGTAGTTGATTATCAAAAAAAAAAAAAAAATCCCTTTCTGCTGTTTTTCTGAAAAAGAAGAGTGAAACTAGCAGTGCAGGTGATCATGATTTTAATCTCATTTCCTTTTAGTGTTAGGGATTTCATTATACCTCTAGGACATGTTTTGCAGCTCTTGGAATCTGATCTTAGATATTATTTTTGAGTTCACGTAATGATTTTTAAAATATTCTAATACATGTCTTCAAAGACCCCCGATCAATATGCCAATGGTTGTGAAATGACAGAGTGCCGCGATATTCCTCTGTAATTTAAACATGATTAGCTGATGAAGGTTATGATCAATACCCTACGGGAAGATAAATTAATTGATAGCATCCTTTCAGGATGATGGGGAGCCTATTGGAGGTGGGATATAACTAATGAAGCTGCTTCTTCGTCTCTGCGAGCCATTTTTTATATATCGTATCTTCACTTAATCATGTTTATACTGTCATTCATTTGTATGAAAACCATAGGCTGTGGACAAACCCGTTCCTTATTAAAATTGTGTTCATTTGGAAAAGAAATTATCCAAGCACCATGGGCCCCCTCTGCATTACAACCTTCGGTCGGGAAGAGATGATGGCCCCTTCTCCTGGGCATCTTTGAAAGCAGCAACACCCTGGGCAAAGACAAGATTGAATATCACCGAGCTTAATTACAGCTGCTCCCCAAAGACACGCATCCATTCCCATAAAAACTGTACTTATTCTCCTGTAGTGACACCTACTGGTGTAGGAAGAGTTTTCTAATCGTCTACTTCCTTTCCAATTACACTCAGTATGCTTTATCAGGGAGCCTATTTGCCAAGAGAAGTTATGGCTGGTTGAATTTAGATTTGTATTGATTAAGATAAACTTCCAGGGTGTGTGGTAATATGTTTAAATAAAAAAAAAGCCCTTTGATATAATTAGTTGTGCTTGACTATAATTCTGCACCATAGCTTGTGAGGAATAATTCTTTAGGCAGTACATGAATTAAATAATGAATGAATGAACGTTGGCTTTCACAGGGGTTTCAATTTCCCTGTCATAGGGTGGTTTGTGCTCTGTGTGACTGGAAAAGATGCTTTCTGAGGACCACACATAGGGTGTCAGGGTGTGGTCCTCCGAGATCCTGTTCCTTCTGTGTCCTGACTTCCACTCCCAGTGTCACCTCACAGTCCAGGACGGCTGCTGGGGCCACAGGCGTCTTTATGCATTCCGGGCAGGTGCAGGGAGAAATCGGGGAAGAAATGGGCAGGAGACAGCTCACCCTAGAGGACGAGTCCTTCCTTCCACTCTTGTCCCGTGGACCAGAGCATCCTTGGAGAGCTGCATGTAGCAGGGGACAACAGGCAGCCCTGGGGCTGTGATAGGCAGATGCTCACGGAAAACCACTACAAAGGAAGAAAAGAGCGGTTCTTGGGGACCACTTCCGGTTCAGTGATTTCTCCTCACTGGGAAGCCAGCTTCACGTTCACTTCTTTTGTATCTGTCACCAGTGGCCCAGAAGATCGTAGCCACAAGGAAGAAGCAGCAGCTGTCCATCGGCCCCTGCAAGTCCCTGCCCAACTCTCCCAGCCACTCCTCCGTCTGCTCAGCACAGGTGTCGGCCGTGCACATGAGCCAGGTAGGCCTGGCCGCCTGAGGGGCGGGGCGCAAGGATGCCAAGTGGGGAGGTGGGGCGGTGCTCGCAGCCAGTGCTCAGGCTGATTTATTTTATTTTTTTCCACTTTATAAATAACAGCATGTTTGTAATTGACTTCACATTTCCTTCAGAAACTGCTGTGGCCAAGTGGTTTTTATGGGAGTCATTCTTTAACGTTTTCTGTCTCCGGGCAGCCTGGGCTGTGTGGCATGCCAGCACAGGGGGCAGTGCCAGGTGTGTGCTGCTGTCTTTGCTGTTGATTTAAATCACCCCGCTCCAGCCCGCTTTTAGGTTGAACAGTTGTGAGTAAATTTTAGTGGTGAATCCCATTTTATGTTCAAATTTGGTAGCAGCGTTCATTTATAATTACCATCTCCCTTAGGCCCTGTAGAAACTATGATCTTTCCATAACAACATTTTGCTAAATTATTTACTCGGAAGCAAATGATGTAATTGTCACTTTGAAGAACCCCAGCAGCAGCTGTTAAGGAAACTGTTGGCTTTGTTTTGCTTATACTTGTTTTTTGATTAGCATTTCTCAGGTGAGTATTCTGTGGGCACTTTTTCCCTAAAGGGTGCAGGGAGAAGGCCAAGTTTCACACCTGTGGTTCGCTCAGGAAGGCCTGTGTGGCTACCTTTGCTACTGGGACCTGCCACCACGGTCGCCAACATCAGCATCTTCATTGTTGCAGTCTTTAACTTTTCTGTGAAATGTCACAATTTTTTTTTTTTTCCACAGCTCTTTCTTTGATTTCCAAAGTGTTGTTTTCAGAATTGGTTGTGGTTCTGGCTGGAAGAACCTATCAGGCCTGAATCTGTTCTAGAACAGTGAAGGGACCACAGAACCATAGGAACTAATTAAAGCAGCTGCTTTATTTTTCAGAGGGAAGAAAATAGGTGTGTTTACCTCTTAGAATTTCTAAGTGGCAGAGACTTTCCCGTACCAGGTCCTTGTTATCAGACAGAGCACCGCTGTCAGACGGTGCTGCCCTGGGGTCCAACCACGGATGACCACTTGGGACTGCTACGTTGGGCAGAGAAGCCATCTGGGCTGTTGCACACGCGTCCCTGTGGTGTGACCTCCTAACTTGTTGGTTATGACCCCACTCCGGCACTGACCTGCGACTCCAGGACTCTGTCATTAGTAAAACCTTGGCTTTCCATTGTTACAGACGAGCAATGGTGGTGGGAGTTTAAGCGACTACTCCTCCTCCGTCCCGTCTACTCCGAGCACCAGCCAGAAGGAGCTGCGCATCGATGTCCCCCCCACTGCCAACACCCCAACGCCCGTCCGGAAGCAGTCCAAGCGCCGCTCCAACCTTTTCACAGTGAGTGTCATCCCCAGAAGTCCAGTTCCACCTGACGTGGTCCTGAGCTGGTCCAGGGATGCCTGTAAAGTCCACGCCGAATGAGGGAGAGTCGCATTGATTTCCGGGGAGTCTCAGAAAATGATGATGAGTGAAGTGAGCTACTCGGGGAGGGAGGTGGTGACTAGTATGTTGGAGGTGAGGCGCACATGATTTATGGAAAGGCACTGCCCATCCTGTGACTTGCCTGCTCTCCACCTTAAAGACGCTGCCTGAGATATAAAGAGATGACCCGGGGCTGGGGATGTAGCTCAGCAGGCCCTGCCCACCTGGCACCCGGTACCCAAAAAAGGGAGAGCGAGAGAGGTGACAAACTGCAGGAACTTGTGCGCCCGATGCCAGACAGGAGATGGGAGCTCTTGGTTTTCTGTTCAGTGCCTGGTGGTATGGGACTGGGTGGCCCTCCCTGGCGGCACCACAAGCCCAGTGTTCCTGGGGGCTTCACTGTCCCAGATTCCTCTCTGGGGCTTTCTCCAGAATTACCTGGATAACATTTTCAAACTGACAATCAGACATCTGGACTCAAAGTGAGAAGCTCAGACTCTGTCCCTGGGGCCCCAGCATGTGTAGTTTTTAAGAGCTCCCAGGGCGATAGAGATACAGAAATCCCTGAGCCACAGAAGAGGTCTGAGTGCTGCTGTCCTGTCCCTTCCTCCTGCACAGAGCAGACATTACCAGTCGAGCATGGAAGGCTTTACAGTTGAGCCCAGAACGCCAGGTAGAAGGGCTCTCCTGTGTTTGGGGCAGTTCTCACTCTACTGGTGCTGTACACTGCATACTTTGAGGCCTGTAGTTCTCAGCCAGCATGGTTTTGCTCCCCAGGGACATTTGGTAACTCCTGGGGACATTTGGGATCATCACACACTGGGTGGAGGTAAGGTACCATGGGCATAGAGTGCTGGGCAGCGTCTAGAGCTGTTGTGAGCTTCCTGCAGTGCACAGCCACAGAGAGTCCTCCAGCCCGCATGCCAGGGGCACCTGCTCGGAACTGTCAGGCCTCCTGGTCGAATGCAGCTGACTTAGGCACAAGGAGATGTGAAATTTCCTAATCCCTTCTTTGATCTGCCTTTTTGAGGAAGGCTGTCTCCACACTGAGGGTTCCACCAAGCCTGGCAGACGCCCCAACCTCCACTGCCGTGTTTGTTGTAGCTCCACCTCCAGGCAGTTGCTGCCGACGGCACATCCCCTCCTGTCCCTTCCTCTGCCAGTCTCCTGTGCCATCCAGCTCTGGCAGGTGGTGCTGCTGGGCCAAGTGTGGACCCATCCAGCAGGCCTAGACCCTGCCTCTGCTGCTGGTGGAGGACAGCCCCTTGCCGAGCAGGTATAGAGGCCCTTTTGCAGGAGACATCAGAGGAGCCTCGGCAGCCTTGCTTTATTTCTCTCTGCCAGTGACATTACGAATGTGACTTCTGGTAGTGTTGAGCAGCAGTAGTTGTAGGACCATCAGGTGGATTGGGGGCAGGTGTGTTGCCGCCACAATCCAGATGTTTATCTGCTCTGCTTAAACGGTGCATGATGAAGATGCTTTACGGTGAAATTCCTTCAGATATGTGGATTGCAGGAGCCACCTACACGGCCACCATCAAATGCCTGTAGGGCTGCTCTGCACTTGAGGGCCCCTTCAGACACACACACACACACACACACACACACACACACGCTCTGACACAGTGGGCCTAAGCAGCCAGCTGTTGAAGCTGCAGCTGAACCCAGAGAAGGCAGCCACGAGGGGGCGCTAGCACAGTGGGTGGCAGAGGCTCAGGGTCAGTTTCTGCACTTGGCACAGGAGAGGACAGCAGCCTCTGGCACCTGCCAAGAGCCAATTTTGCTGCTCATTGGCTGGTTTCTATTCTATGAAAGAAACAAAGAACAAGTGGGGATTATCCTTTTAGGTAGGCTCTTTATAAGAAGACCATCACCACGTCCCTGTCCCCACCTGCCACAAGAGAGTGTCCTGGACCCTGACACCAGCTAACTGCCTCCCCGATGGCCTGTGTTGGAGAGCACTTCCTTTTCGGCAGGAAGAATGAGAACAGTAACTCCGAGAATAAATATTTACTTAGCATCTGCTTGCTGCAGAGAGCTGCTTTTGCTCATTGACAACGAGGAATGTTGGTAGCCAGAGTCAGCCACAATTGTAGAATGGTCAGCACCAAAGTGGGGGTCCTGCATGGTACATGGGGAGGGGACTGCGAGGGAAGAGCCATTTCCAGCTGCTTGAAGCCTCCAGGCAAGCTCACGCATGCACAGGTACGCACACGCACAGAGGCGTCTACATCCGGGAAGCCACAGTCACACAGGCAGGTATGGCAGGTGCAGGAGCTATTGAAACCTCTGCTGCAGCAGCCGAATATCACTGTTACTTATGTCCTAGTCCATGCAGCGGCGGCCCACAAATCTGTGCATTACCATCTCTTGCTCTGCCTCGGGTGTCAGAAAAGAGTTTGAGAATAAACCATTCTAAACGCTGAATACAGCTGCCCGGCTGTTAGTAGTGGGGCAGAAATCTGGACCCATGAGCCTGAGCAGCACAGTTTGAGGAAAGGTGGCTGATGTCCCAGGCGAGGGTGCACAGATCCCTGCCGGCGATGATGGTGATGTGTGAGGTGTGAGCGCTCTGAGGGGAGGATCCTAGAATGCTTGCTCCACTAGATGTCAGTGTCATCCAAGAGATGAAAAGAAGGCAAGGTAATTTTGAAATTGAAGCAATTAAGAAACTAAATTCTTACCACTACCAGTTTGCTTCCATTCTCAAATAGGTAAAATCCCTAGAGCCCTGTTCCTGGGGTGGTCCGTGATCGTGGCCTTCAGTTGCCGGGGCGTGTATTTATTTCACAGTGTCCAGCAGGAGGGCAGAGGCGTCCATGGGGGAGCAGTCATGGCGGGTAAGGATGCGCACAGCCTGGGCCTGTGGCATGCAGGTGGAGGAGGACCGTCTACCTTGTTTATGAGAGCATCACCCAGGGGCCATAGTTACCTGAGCAGTGCACACCATTTCTCAATACCATTCCTGCAAATTTTATAAACTAGATCCATAACGGTAACGCAGTGCTCTGGGCTAACGTGTTCTCCCAGATGTTGCTGTTTGCATATAAACATATTTTTAAACAAACAGATCATATGTACTTTAGGAGAAATGCTATAAACGTAAAATCTTTCTAATAGTGGCAAATGATGTGTCACCTTCACAGTAGGGATTACACTTCTCCGATGAAACGTTAAAGCCTTATTTTGCTTCTTTGGAAAAATGAAAACAAAAACACTGTTTTAAGAAAACAAACATTAGAAGACTGTCCACTTAATCCTTGGTTTCATGAAAATGATTCTTAAGACAGCTAGTTTAGCAGGGCCAATTTACATGCATTTGAGCTATTAGAAAACATTTTCAAACATAAAGGGAATAAGTAAATAAACATGTACTCACCACACAGCTACTCAGATATGGCTCCTCCTTTTTCTGCTGCCACTGCCGCTGCTCCTCCAGGAAGTAATCAAATCATGAGCAGAAATGGAAGCTATCCCAGGGGTCCTCTGCTGCTCTCTTCCACGGGTGGGCGTCCCCCTGGGCTTCCTGCCTTGAGCACGTGTCCTTACGTCTATGCTGCATTGCTCTGCCTGTCTTCCAGCTGTTTTGCAGTGGTGTCACTGACGTGATGTTTTTCAAAGCTCGCAGTGTCTTGCCGGTGCCACTAAATGGGGCTGAGCATACTGGCACACACCCATTGCCCCAGGCATTACTGACTCATAGAAACTCCCTGGAGAGAAGACAGTGATGTCTGTGGTATAAATAGAATTGTTTGGCACTTTGGGCTTCTGTAGAAGAGAGCCAGGATGTGGTAGGTTCTGCTGGCTCTTGCCTTGCTGGGAAAGGAAGAAGCAGCTTTCTGCTGCTGTCCCAGAGGAAGTTAAGCATTTCTGTAAAGCAGCAGGTGGCATTAGATTTCTTAGCCTTCCTTCCCTCTGGCTTGCAGTTCCTGGAGGCTAAGCAGTCTCGCTAACATGGTTCTAGGTCTGCAGGCCTTTTGAGACAGGTGTGGTAGCCCCACTTGTTTTCTGGGACGCAGGTCACAGTCAGTCCTGATACACGTAAGTGTGCACTGGGAACGTGCAGTCTCCAAGATGGACAGGAAATAAGGAGACCTCACCGGGGATTTACGTGTGCTGCGCTATTCTGTGTTCCTGGACTTGGTTTAATTTAGGGGTTGGCTTTCACCTGAGTTGATGCAGCTCGGGGGCACCGCAGTGGTAGAGCCGAGTTACGGCAGATCTTTCCTCTGCCTCTGCCCTCCCTCAAAACTTTATTTTCATGACTTCTTCCTTCAGGATGTTGTAGTTGGTAGAAAGTATTTGTTTTATTTTTGCAAAGAAGTCTTACCTAAGTTTTCATTTTATTTATCACTTAATTCGTGATCAGATACTGAGTTAACCTTTTCTTTTTTTTTTCTTCCCATTACTAGGGCTTGAACCTAGGACCCTTGCACTGAGCTATGTTCCCATTTTATTTGTTATTTATTTGTTATTGTCACATAGGGTCTCACTCCTTCACCCAGGCTGGGCTTGAACTTGTGATCCTCCTGCCTCGGCCTCCCAGATTATGGGCTTGGGATTGCAGGCCTTCCCCTACACCTGGTTTAACTTTGAGTCTTCACAGTTTACATTCTGAGTTGAATGCCGCAGTGCCATTGGCCTTCTCTTTGTTGTGATGGAATCCAAGTCCTGCTCGGAGAACAGGGCGGCTGTGGGGACAGATGTGCTGCCTTGGGGAAGATGTTAACTTTTAAAAATATTTGTTTTGTTAATTATTCCGGTTAATACAGAATAATGAAGATGGGTTTCCAAATGTAGAAATTTAGAATTCATGAAATTCCCAGAGTATTATTGATGGTCTTTATTGATTTAATTTTTTTTTAATGTATTCCTGTGAGCTGACATTCATTTTACAACTAAAAACCTCAAGTGCCAACTTTCCCAGGAACTGTGGCACAAGAGAATTTAAGACTCTTAATAGCCCTGGCTGTACATTAGTAAGAATGAATTAAAGAGAAAAGCATATCCCCAAACTGAAGCTGAAATTCGTGAAGAATTGATGAAGACCTCTACTTGCCTACCAGCTCAAGGGGGTAAACAATTTGTCGTATACGGTAGCAGCGTCCCACTGGTTGCTTGTTCCATTTTCTGTCATCTTCTTCCAGGTTTTTATCCTAAATGCAAAAGGTGCATGTGGTGCTTGGCACACAGTAGATGATCAGAAATTGTGAACACTCACAATCACCAAAGAAACCTGTTCCCCGGCTAGCACTGGCCCACGGGAGCCCTTCCCTGGCCTCTGTCCTCATTTTGACAGAAACTGCCCCGGCATCCCAGGCCTGTCCTATGAGTCCTTGCTTCACCCCGTCCTCTGATGCCGCCCCTTCCCAGGAGCATCATTAAAACTCAGCCACTCTGTCCCACATTGCTTTGAAACTGGATCTCATCAGCCGTTCTCTGCGGCGCTGGACACCACCACGTCTGTGCATTTCATATATCATCTCAGATTTGAAAAGCACATGAAAATGTTTCTCCATTTTCAATATTGCGTGAGTAATGTTCCCATTGAAAAGTAATGGAGTGAAGTTGTCACTTGTCAGCACCGTTATTAAGGAGGACGAGCCTCAGATCTTTCTCTCATAATAAAATAAATCTGTCAGAAAATCATCGTGCTCATGCTTGCTCACGCCAGCAGGAGATGGGGACTTGCACTGTGGCACGCTTTTGGCCAGGCTGAGGTGTGCCTTGGGTTCCCCTCTGTGCCCTCCAGCCACCAGCCTGCATGCAGTTCGCTCCACACCCTTGAGGATAATTGGCTCGTGCACTTGGCAAACAAATAGAGCTGCTCATTGTCTGCCAAACTCTGACATTTTGTTGAAGGGAGATTTCAGTATTTTTCCCATTCGTTGTGGAATGGTACACTAATTTACCTTTGAAATCGCTGCGTTCCAACCACCCAGAACCAATAAAAGGAAACATTACCCACACCTTGATACTAATCAGGGGTGTGCCGTTAGCTCGCACAGTTGACTAGTAATAGAATTTTTTAAATCATTCAGACATTAATTAAATATATACATTTATGCAGTCGGTTTTCGAAACAAGCAGCAAGGAGCCCCTTTCCTTCTCAGCTCTATTAACTGCTGCTTTTGAATATGTGTTCTCGTTGGGCGTTACTTTCTTAGATGGTCCATTGGTTTCTAGTAATTGAATTTTGAACTCTTTAAAAAAGAATTAAAAGATAATTTTGCAGTGGAAAAGTCCAGAGGAAAGTTTAGAGTGTTTTCTACAGATCGATGTATTCAGTGTGGGTGAGCAGCCTGGAGTCTGAGCGTACACACACACACACACACACACACACACTGCAAGCATGGGGACCAGGCCTGGCGTCTACATCCGGGTTGGTGAGGAGAAGCACACCCGTTAGCACAGCCCTTCCCCAAATGCTAACTTTGCTTTGCTTTGCTTTGCAGTCTCGGAAAGGGAGCGACCCAGACAAAGAGAAGAAAGGCCTGGAGAGCCGCGCGGACAGCATCGGGAGCGGGCGAGCCATCCCAATTAAACAGGTACAAGGTCCCCTCCCCGCCCGGCGCCGGCCCACACCTCTGGTTGGCCGGGAGGACGTTGACTCCTCCAGTGCCAGGGTTTGTTTGATGTGCTGTGTTGATGAATGTAGAAGTCACTCACTTGACATCAATTAGAAGAGGTTCCTGTGAGTATTAAAATGGGATCATTAGAATAAGAAGAGGCAATGTGACAAACAGATCTAATGAAGTGCAGTCTGCCCGCCTGCGTATGCAGTGTGCTTCCCGGCAGCACTGTCTTCAAAGGCTGCCTTTGGAGCGCGGCTTTGATTGGGCTGCTGGCCGCCAGGCGACAGGGGAAAATCAGATCGTGGTACAAGAGCCCCTTGTGATCACAGGCATGGCCCGGTGTGGCCCTAATTTGCTCTCGCGGACGGACATCTGAACACTGTTTCAGGCTGGTCTGCGACAACGAGGCAATTAGTTGTGATAATCATAGCCCGCATGTCAGCTGCTCGCTCTTGTTTGTAATTTGCTAATGAAGGAATTGTAACTTTGATTAGGTTCAGTTTCATTTAGACCTTATTATATAAAGGAACATTTACAGCGGTAATGTGGGGCCTTAATTAAACTTCCTCATTACACAACAGGACTCGAATTCAAGCATTTGTTTTGGCCTATGTTGCTAGCCTGAAATAGGATTTCATTAGCCCAGAAACCGGATGCTGAATGACTTGTCTGCAGGAAGAAAAAAAAAAAAAGGGCTGGCATTCACACGTGACGTATTTGGCTGTTTTATTTCTACGACTAAGAAAGGGTGCAGGCCCTCACCGAGGCTCCGGAAATGTCGTCTTTTAGTTTGTTGAAGAAAGCCAATTGATTGAGAGCACGCTGTTTCAGGGAGAGGAGGGGGAAAGCCTGTGGGCAGGAAGGCTGCGCCCCGACAGTCTTTCCCCTGTCTCCAGGCGCCTCCGGAAGGAGCACGGGCACTGGCTGCCCGCAGAGGATGCAGAGCCCTTCTGCAAATGTAGCTGAGTGGTTGTAGCATCAACGATCTCACCCATCGGAAAGCAGCATGGCTGTGGCTTTAGCAAGGGGCTGGGCAATTTCAGCCAGAGCTGTGGGGTGAAAGAGGTTGGGTGGGGCCGTGGGGTCTTGGGCAAGACCAGAGTTGGAGCTGGACAGAGTTCTTGCATCCCCTCAGCAGCTGCAGGACTGAGCAGGTCTGCAAGCTCCTTCAGCCCCCCTGGGACATAATGAGGGGGCAAGGGCCTCTGTATGTGTTCAGATACCAGGCGGCAGATGTGTGGAGAACATGGCCCGGCGCAGGCATTCCACTCCCCTGCATGTCTCTACAAAGCGCCTTCCCCTTGCGGGTGGTTCATGGTTTTTGCCATCAAGCAAGTTCTTCAGAGGTCTCTGCACATAGTTCTTTTTGGCTCAGTTTTTGCTTGAGATAATTTTAAAGTATAGTTTTTATGCCGTAGGCATTACATCACCTAGAGTTCTGAAAGCTATTAAATTGGGTTTTTTGTTTGTTTTTCCTTGTATATAGAACTGGTGCTGGGCCACTGGCTTGGGGGAAGATTAAAGCCAGCATAGGTTGTTCCCCTGTCTCTCACATGCTGGGGACTTGGGTGAGGCTGTTCACTAGCTTGGCGGGAGCTTCCGTGAGCTGTGGGCCCTTGTGGCTGCGATCCTCCCATGCTCTGTGCCTTTCCCCAGCTTTGCAGGTGAGACTCTGCGTGCCTGCACAGATGAGAACTGACCACAAGCCTAAAATGAGTGTTACCCAGGCCCCGGCAGCCTTTGAACCAGTCTGGTTTCCTGGGAATGACTTGGCACCAGGAGGCCCTTGTCCCTCCAGAGTGCCCCCAGGATGCAGCAGGGGCCAGTGCCTTCCTGGGATCCACCCTGGCCCCACATGTCCCACTGTAGCAGGTGCTCTGGGCCTCGAGCCCCTCATCTTTGAGATAGGAACCACAGGTCGCCTGCACCCCTCAAAACACTCAGATGTAGAGATTCTGCAGAAAGTGTTTCAAACCTAGCACAGAGTTTCCAATTTGTCCTGGTCAGGGCACCCTCAGGAGAGCCTTCCTGTACGTCCCGTGGCCAGGGATGGGTCCTCAGGTGGTCATGTGGACGCACCTCCATGCCCTTGCTCCACCTAGTAGCAGCTGGATTGCTTCCCCCTGGCGTGTGACTTCAGCATGAACACGAAGCAGGGTGGCGGGCCCAGTAGGGCAGGACCTGGCCGGTATAGTCTAGGCCTAAGTGAATGTGTGAGTGCGTGCTCGTCGTTCCGTGCCGTCCACGCAGTGTCCACTCCCCTCAGCGTGTACCACGGAAGCAGTTGTGCTGTGCTTACCTCAGATATACCCTGGAGAAAGAAGCTTTGTTCTAGGCCAGACAGCTGCTATGGGTCCCTCCGCCCCACTTCAGTGTGTTTACCCTACCCGCTCACAGACAGCTGCGCAAGCAAAGTTCGGTGCTGTAGACGGTGTGAACCCCGACCTCAGGCCGAAATGTCTGCCGCCCATGCGGAACAGACTTGGAAGACCTCGCCTGCAGCAGCACGCCTCTCCAGTGTGGCAGCCCCTCCCTGTCACCCCCACATCAGCTCCACTCGCCAGTCAGCCTGCATTGCTTTGATCACGGCCGACCCTTCTCCTCACGTGGCTTGTTCGGGACGTTGCTGTTCAGGACTCAGATGTGGGATCCTTGCTCCCCATTACTGACCCATGTTATACAGACCATACCGTGCCCGTGGATCACTCTGACCATTTCCCCCGACATTCTGCAGCTCGTGTGTTTGAGAATTAGGGTTTTTGCTCCCCATCTAGGACCTCGCGGAATCATGGTGGACCGTGACTTCATTTCTTTCTCTCCCCCAATTAGAGGTTTCTCGCTGAGTATCTGACTTGTCTCCCAGAACATAAGTTCGTGTCTCCCGGACCCAGGCCTGCCTCACATTTTTGTTCCCTTCCAGGGTCCTGGGTGCATTTGGTTCGGAGAGCTCTGTGTCTCTTCTTCCTAACAAGAGAAGGTCTATTCAAATAAAAATTAAAAAGCAAAGCAAGAAAAATAAAAGCCAGAGGCCCAGCCCAGCGGCAAGTGGGCTTGTCACGTATTAATTTTTCATTGCTGTGGAGAGTTGTACATACATAATCACTTGATTGCAGTGGGAGCTGGGGAGCTCCTGTGGTGTCATTTGCATAAATCTTGTTAAGTCAATGGCAGTTAATGAAGTACAAATGAGCCCGGAGAAGGTGACATGCAAATCGTGGGTGGCAGATGGGAGGTCTGTTTGGGGGACGGCAGCTGTGTGCGCTCCTTTCTTTCTTTCTCTTTAGCATTTTTTAATCTCTATATTTGAGTGCAGACACATGGCCGTAAGCCTTGGCCCCTTCCACTCCGCTGACTGCTGGCCAGGGCCTGGCCAGCTCCTGCTGCCCCAGCGCTCATTCTGTGCGGCGGAGGCTGCAGGGCCCCCCCGGCACTCTGCAGTGTGCATCTGAACTTCTGAAAACCCGATCATTATATCTTGTCGTACTCGAACATGTATTTTAGGTGGAGGGGATGGATGGAAAGACTGTTCCGCGCAGAGTCCTTGGCGGCTGCGCATCTTTCTCTGGTGCTCCAGAGAGGGGCGGGGCTGCACCCGCTTCGGCCTGCTCTCAGTCTCTTCCCTTCCCCCTGGGTCGGGGCTGCTGTGTGAGCTGTTACTCCCACCCGGGCTCAGAGTTGGGCCCCATGGAGGTGACATTCCCACGCATGGTTAGCCACAGGAATCCTGGAGGCATTGGGAACTCACCACGTGCGTCCCGCTGGGGAAGACACTGGGTTCCCTGCCCGCTGAGCTGAGGTGCTATGTAAAGGACTTAGGTGGCAGCGGCACCCGCCCGTCACCTTGGGAAGCCTCTGACTTGGCCTTCCCTCCACTGTTTGATACTTCGAGAGGACCGGATCTTTATACTGAAAACTGTAGGCAGAGGGGTGCAGGGAGCCATGAGCCCCACCGTGCTGGCAGGGCCCATGTGCGGTGGCCCAGCTCGGGAGCCCCCTGTGCCACCTTGGGGTCTTGGGGGCAGCTTCTCGGCTCCTGCGGACCCACAACCAGGCGTCGTTGCGCCTTTGTAATGTTAGGAGGAACCAGCCTAGGGCTGGAGTGTCTCTGTGAAACTTTCTATGGTCTGAAGTTTGACCTTAACCCACCATGGCGTGGCCACCCTTAGAGCAGCCCCAGGGAGCTGCTGGCAACCCTTGTACAGAACACTACTATTCCCCTGCCACCGGGCCATGAGCTGTCCTCAAGCTGTGCAGCGTTGTGGTTCTCCACAGAGTAGAAAGTGGCGATTGTCGCCAAAGAAAAAGGCACCTCGGGAGTTCATCCTCTGCCTGGCAGGCGCAGGCCTCAGACCTGTGTTTTTCTGGTGCCTGGGTCAGCTCTGGGTGCACTGTGCATCATTGGCAGCACAGAGGGCGCTAATGATGTGCATTTGACATCCTGAGGTTCAGGCAGTGCCAGCTCTGGGCCCACTGCTCAGCTGCCGCATGCTGCCCTGTGAGGAAGCGAACTGGAAGACAGGCCTGGGGCTTCCTGAGATCAGGCGAGAAGCGCCAGCCAGACTCTTGCTGCCAGCAACATGCAGAGAGTGACTCAGCTAGGCCGCCTCTCCCGGCCTGACCCTGAGGAGCCCAGGCTGTGCACCCGCATGCAGATTCACACTGCCAGCCTGGAGGTGGCAAGAGGCGGCAGGGGTGCAGGTGGGCCTCCAGCAGAGGCGAGGCGAGGAGGGGCCTGCAAGGCAAGCATCCGGTTGGCACAGTGCTGGCTTCCTGCACGAGTACTGACATCCCCCGTCTTGTTGAAGCCCTGCTCTCCTGCATGGACACCCAGCACAGAGTGTCCTCGGGGAGCCAGAGTGGCTTCTGCTCCTTGCCTGTGACCTTGTCCCTCTTGATTGCAGGTGTCCCCTCCCTCTTACCTTGTTTGGTGGTATCGGGGATTGGACTGGGACCTTTGCTATGAGCTGCATCCT